ACTGTCCACTCTGCCTGTCAAAAAATAAGTAAATAAATAAAAAGAGAGAGAGGGATTAGGAGAAATCAAGCAGTATGCTGGAAGCAGGTCCTGGTATACCTTGGGGGGGGGGGGAGTAAGAGCAATGAATCCCATTAGGGTGGAGGTGGAGCTGACACCTGTGGTTGAGCCCTGGGGTTAGGACCAAAGCTTACTATGCAAAGTGCAGAGCCTAAGATGGCATCCGGGGTATAGATGGCGCCACAGGTAAGACGGCACCATTTTACTAACAGCCTTCACCTACACCTGCCCACGGACAAGACTGCCCCTACAGGCAGTGACACAGAACCTTTGCTGGCTCACACTGTATACCGCAACCCTCACACCATATACCGCAACCTTCCTCGCTCTCTTGTACTCTGTGTGTCTTCCTGCAGAGCCAACTTCTGTGGGGCTGGTGCATTGGCTTGTGATAGGCAGAGGGAGCCCAGGAGCCAAGCAGCTCCCAGAGACTCCCTAAATCCCACCATCAGCATGGAATGGCCTAGGAGTGGCAGAGAACTGCTGGAGCCGGAGGGGCTTGGCCACGACTAATGAGGACTCGGCGGTGACCATCCAGGACCAAAGAATGCTTCCTCAGAGGCCAGAGTGCACCTATGACTGTCTGTCCCTTCAGTGCCACCAGGCTGACTCGAGCTGACTTCCAGGACGAGAGAAGGGACCAGATGAGAAGAAAAAAAGAGGTTATCTGTGAGCTAGTGCTATACAGCAAACCACTCCCAAACTAGAGGCACTTATTCAGCTCATGGCTCTATGGGTCAGCTGAGTGGGTCTCCTGGCTTTGGGCTCCTACTTCCCACGCACCTGCATTCAGCGGGTGAATCCGCTGGTGCTGAGTGACACGGAGTGGCCCCTCTTGTGCATTTGACGGGGATGTTGGAAACTCCACGGGGGCACAGGCTAATCTATGCTTAATCACACAAAGAGAGGGCTCCCTGTGGTACAAGAGAGGGCCAGTGTCACTGCACATATGGGGACCGTCTCTACTGGCTCACTGGCCAAAGCAGAGCACGTAGCCAAACCTGTACGAAAAGGCTGCAGCAACGGACTCTTTGAGGGGAGAGTTATAAAGTCAATTGCAAAGAGGCATGGGTGTGGAGAAGGCAGGAATGTGAAGCATTCTTGCAATTAACCACAACCAAAGGTTCTGCTCATTCCCCACTTTGTTTGGGCATTCCAGAGGGTAGCTAACAAATGATGAGTTATCTAAGTAGTTGTCTTATCTCCCTTTCTAAGTTTGCACTGCTTCATTTGTTCATCTTTATTTGCCATAACTGACTACAAATAATGTTTTCCGCACAGAGGGGATTGATTTGCAAGCTTTTGAGTGATGATTCCGAGGGGAATTCCTCCGTGAGAAAAGAGGCACTTGACAGCCCAAGAGGGATGACTTTATTTTGCAAGGCCTCTATGAAGTGTTGGGAACACAACGGAAGGTAAAACACTCATAGTCCCTGTTTTATGAAGCCTGGAGCCTAGTGCAGAGAAATCAATCAAATAATCACAAAAGCCAATTCAAAACTGCAGCTGGGACGAGTGTTCCAGTAGACGCGCATGGGGCTGTGAGGTGGTGGCGGTCAACGTTGTCTCCTTTTAGAGCAGCTTTCCTGAGCTACGCTTGACACACAAGAAGACGCACATGTTTAAGGTACACAGTTCTGACCTGAAAACATCACTGAGATTCTGACTTGATTCGTTTGGGAGGACAGAGAAAGAGAAGCATCCCTAAGCAAATGACAGCCAAAGTGGAATCCAAACCGCCTTTGCTGGGAGTTGGCAAGGAATGAGAAGCTGTGGCCAGAGCTTAGTATCTTGTTCAACTGAGGGCTTGCCTGAACTGATTCCAAACTGTGTCTCTGCTAACGGCATTGAACTTCCCCCCCTCCCAGTGACTGGACCTTTCCCTCCCTGCGTCTGTGTTGGAATGACCACGTTGGCCTCGTCCACGGAGCTCCTGGCTTGCTCCCCAAATGGCAGCAATCTGGTCTCCCACGCAGGTGGCAGGAGGAGCCCGACTACTTCAGCCGTCACCTTCTGCCTCCCAGTGTCCACATTAGCAAGAAGCTGGAGGGGCCCGCCCTGTGGCATAATGGGTAAGGTCGCCGCCTGCAGTGCCAGCGTCCCATATGGGCGCTGGTTCAAGTCCTGGATGCTCCACTTCCCATCCACACCTCTGCTATGGCCTGGGAAAGCAGTGGAAGATGGCCCAAGTGCTTGGGCCCCTGCACCCGCGTGGGAGACCTGGAGGAAGCTCCTGGCTCCTGACTTCAAATTGGCCCAGCTTTGGCTGTTGCGCCCAACTGGGAAGTGAACCAATGGATAGAAGACGTCACTCTCTTTCTGCCTCTCCTTCTCTCTGTGTAACCCTGACTTTCAAATAAATAAATAAATAAATAAACCTTTTTTTTTTTTTAAACTGGAATCAGGAGCAGAGCAAGAACTTGAACCTGGGCAATTCTGATGCAGCTAAGTGTGTTTTAACCTGTAGTTTACAGGTTAACTATTACACTAAACACCTGCCCCACTTTTGTGTAAACTTTTAGACTAATGGAATCATTTTCATTTTTTTCTTAAGATTTACTGTGTTATGTGTAGCTGTAATTCTTTTATTTTTTTCCTGCTGTGTAATATTCTTCTGTGTGCACATACTCTTATTAAAAGTATATACACCCGGCCGGCGCTGTGGCTCACTAGGCTAGTCCTCCGCCTGCGGCGCTGGCACACCGGGTTCTAGTCCCGGTCGGGGCGCTGGATTCTGTCCCGGTTGCCCCTCTTCCAGGCCAGCTCTCTGCTGTGGCCCGGGAGTGCAGTGGAAGATGGCCCAAGTGCTTGGGCCCTGCACCCCATGGGATACCAGGAGGAAGCACCTGGCTCCTGGCTTCAGATCGATGCAGCATGCTGGCCATAGCAGCCATTTGGGAGGTGAACCAATGGAAGGAAGACCTTTCTCTCTGTCTCTCTCTCTCACTGTCTAACTCTGCCTGTCAAAAAAATAAATAAATAAAATACAATAAATAAAATAAAATAAAATATATACACCCTTCTGTTTACAGGCAGGTATTTCTACTTTCTGCTATTTAGATCCATGCTGCTGTATCTTACCATGAACACTTGCACATTAAAACAGAAAAAATGAGGTGGAGAAAAGGGACACCACCTTATCAGAGTGATCAACATTAACATCACAGCTGATAAGGGTGCACACAGTGTCCCTCCACTTGCTAACTGAGAAGGACATGGCATTGCTTCTCTGATATCCGAGCCCAAAGGGTTTAATCTGAATTTGGCCGGGGAGGAACATCTGAGGAACCTTTTCTTTCTTCCTTCCTTTCTACTGTTTTTAAGATTTATTTATTTGAGAGGCAGAGACAGACAGAGAGAGCTCTTCCACCTGCTGGCTCACCCCCTCCCCGCCCCCCAGTGGCTACAACAGCTGCAGCCGGGAGCTCAGAACTCTATTAGGTCTCCCACGTGAGCGGCAGAGGCCCAAGTCCTTGGGCCTTCATCCGCTGTTTGCTCAGGCGCATTCACAGGGAGCTGGATCGGAAGCAGAGCAGTCGGGACTCCAACTGGCATTCTGCTACAAGATGCTGACGTCAGAGGAGGCAGCTTAACCTGCCGTGCCACAGTGCAGGCTGCGGGAATCTTGTCTTTCTCTTTCCTTCCTTCTTCCCAAGACTGATTGACTCATTTATTTTGAAAGTCAGAGTTAGAGAGAAGACAGGGAGAGAGACAGAAAGAGAGAGAGAGATCTGTCTGTTGCTTCATTCCCCAGATGGCTGCAAAGGCTAGGGCTGGATCAGCAGGAGTCCAGGATTGCCCGCTGCTTTCCCAGGCACATTAGTAGGGAGCTGGATCGGAAGTGCAGCAGCCGGGACATAAACAGGTGCCCGTCAGGGATGTCGGCATCACAGGCAGTGGCTTTACCCGCTGCACCCCTATGCCTTCCCTCTGAGGAATCTTTTCTAAAATAACTGGCCTTTAGGCTTCTATAAGTAGACTTCTATCATTTAGAGCAGTTTTAGGTTCGCAACTGAACATTTCCCACCAGGCGCAGCCTCCCCAGTTGGCAAAACCCCATCAGTGGCACAGCTTCTAGCTGACAACCTGACATAGAGAACTCACGATTGCATGCCAAGGAGCTAATTTTGAAATTTTTCCTTACAGTGTGGTCCAGGCCACTGCTTGGACTTTATCTAACTCCTAACCCTTAGACTAAAATCATGCCCATGTTCAAACAACAAAGACAGCTAAGAACTAAAGACAAGAGATTACTCTCCCTTCCAGTCCACGCTACCTCTGCTACCTCCACCCTCACCAGGAACAGGGGTTACTTCTTCAGCAGATACCTTCAAGAACTCACCCGAGTGCCCCACAAGGGTGGCAGGGGCCCCACCACTGCAGCCATCACCTGCTGCCTCCCAGGGTGCAGTTTAGCAGGAAGCTGGACTTGGGAAGTGGAGCCAGAACTCCAATGGAGGCAGTCTGTTATGACTTAACCACTGCACTGAATGCCAGCCCCCTTCTCTGGGTGGACAAGTGTATGCCCCATGTCCACGCTTAGAGAAGCGTACAGAACGCTTTCTTCTCCATTCAAAACCTTCAGCAACCACTAATCCTTTTACCATCTCCCTAGTTTTGCCTTTTCAAGGATCTCAACTAGTTGGAAGGATACCTCCATTGCTTCCAAGTTTTGGCAATGACAAAGTTTCAATAAACATTCCTCTGAAGCTTTCTTGTGCATGGCTTCACTCATTTGGGTAAAAACCAAAGAGCGGCCAGCGCCGCGGCTCACTGGGCTAATCCTCCGCCCACGGCGCCGGCACCCCAGGTTCTGGTCCCGAGCCGGGGGCGCCCTCTCCTAGGACCCCGTGCGCGCCCGCGGCTGGGCGGGGCGGCGAGGCGCGGCGCGGCCGGACGGGGCGGGCCGGGGCCAGGCGTCCCGCCTCCGCCGCCCGTGGCTCTGTCCTCTCTTTCCGGCGCAGCGATGGGGCCGGCGCGCCGGGCGGCCGCCGCCTTGCTGGCGGTGCTGTGCGCGGGCTGCGCGCTGCGCCCGGGGCGCGCGCAGTACGAGCGCTACAGCTTCCGCAGCTTCCCGCGGGACGAGCTGATGCCGCTCGAGTCGGCCTACCGGCACGCGCTGGACCAGTACAGCGGCGAGCACTGGGCCGAGAGCGCGGGCTACCTGGAGATCAGCCTGCGGCTGCACCGCCTGCTGCGCGACAGCGAGGCCTTCTGCCACCGCAACTGCAGCGGGGCGGCGCCGCGCGAGCCCGCCGCGGGGCTGGCGCGCTACCCCGAGCTGCGGCTCTTCGGGGGCCTGCTGCGGCGCGCGCACTGCCTCAAGCGCTGCAAGCAGGGCCTGCCGGCCTTCCGCCAGTCGCAGCCCAGCCGCGAGGTGCTGGCCGACTTCCAGCGCCGCGAACCCTACAAGTTCCTGCAGTTCGCCTACTTCAAGGCAAGTGCGCCCGGCCCCGCCCCTCGCCCGGGAGGCCACGCCCCCAGCCCAGGGCACGCCCCTCTCAGACCTGGGGCACCACCCCTCGCCCTCTCTGGACCCGCCTCTCTCCCAGCCCTTCCGGAAGTCGCCTCTCAGTCCCGCCCCTCCCGCTTCCGCTCTCGCGCGGAGCATGCGCGCGGCGAACGCGGCCCGGCGTTGGGCGGTCAGCGCGGGGCCTGAGGGAGGTAGCCCGTGACCCCCGGGCGCAACCTGGTTTTTTTCCGTCCACACCGCCTTGTCTGTAGTCGGGTGGGGGCTGGCGGTGATAAGGCGCCGGAGGGCTGAGGAACCCGGCAGGCGCAATGAGGAGGGGACGGGCCGGAGGGCAGGGCAGGGGCTCGGCGTGGAGAGGCCCTTGTGCCCGCGGGCGGCGCCGTTTCTCTCTCGTCTAGGGTTTAGGGGTGCTAGTGCGGTCCCCCGCCTCTGAGCCCTGGCGCTGGGGACCCACGCGTGTGGAGGACGGGCCCCGTTCCCCGGGTACCTTGGCGCTCGGAGAACATTCTAGAAGCCCGCCTGCTGCTTCTCTCTGGTTAGACGGGTTTTTGGAGGACTGTATTGCAAGTGTGTTACCGGCTGCACGGCTGGACTCACGGAGTGACCGGGACCGTGCGGCCGGGTCACCCCCCAGCTGGGCCCAGCGGCCAGCGGCTCCGCCCGGTCTCCCGCCTGCTTTCCCGCGCGCAGCCGCTGGTGTGGGGGCTGTGCCCCGGCGCCGCCCCCCGGGAGGCAGAAGCTCTGGTGGAGTCTTTGTCCTTGTTGCCTATTTCTGGCCGAGCAGAGCCACGTGTGCATCACATTCACGTGACCAAGAAAGCGCAGAACCTCAAAAGGAGAAAAGCCGGGGTATTGCTAAACTTAGTCACAGTTTTATATAAAGGGTCAATTTTGCGAATGTTTGTCCTGGCAATAAAAAAAAAAAAAAAAACCCCTACTTTTAAAATAGAACCTGGGGGGATGAGATTAATGAAATTCCAAAATGTTGAAAATGACAGTTGGCTCCTAAAAGCAGTGTTTTCGAAGCTAAAAATGACTCTGCTGATTCCTTTTTTTGTGGCGCTTTTGGCAAATAACAGTGTGAATGAAATTTTAGTCACAAGATCAAGGGGGAGACTTTCTGTTTTTAGACCTGGAGGATGCTAGACGCTCTGATTTCTTCAATGCAGGAGTCCATATAAACTTGAATAAGAGACGCAGGAAGGAGGCCAGAGAGCCTTTCACTCAACGTGGCCATTAGGCTGTGGTTTCTGTATTGGAGTGGCCTCAGGGGGTTAGCTAGGGCTTCACAGCCGCTTTCCAAAACCTGTAGACTTGGCCAGTCACTTACTAGAAAATAGGCAGGAAAATACCATCTGTCTTAGTGCTTTCAGGTCGCAGCAAAAAAAAAAAAATTTTTTTTTTTATAAAACTGAATGTTCACTCAATTGTTTCAGCCACTGAAAAAGTGATTTTTGGTAGAGATAGGTGTGACTTTTTTTCCCTCGGTGATGTTTGCTTTTCTGAACGCTGTTGATGGGTAGGGAGGGAGACACGGATGGTGACAGGCGCCTGAGCCGGGGCTGTCCGTCTGCTGTCCTCTGCACTTCTGTGTTTCAGTGAACACTGGAATAGGAGTGGGGTCCCGCCTGCCAGATGAGTGGGGAGGGTGGGGTTTGGACGAGTGACCTTGTGGAAAAGTACCATGACCCCTGGAGTGGAGGCCTCCTGCCCACCAGGGGCCACCCGCTGAGTTTAGATCCCAGTAGTTAGCTGTGGGTTCTCTCCATCTACACGAAACACTCACTACCTCCAGGGCCACACAGAAAGTGAACCTGGTGCCCGAGAGGATGCTGTGAGCTGGACGGAGCTGGTCCCCAGGCACCCTCACCCCACCCCTCGATGGGCGGGGACTCTGGTGTCCCTGAACCTGTGTCTCTCTATACAACTCTGCCTTCCAGATCAATATATCTTAAAAAAGAAAAGAACCCCCCCCCCCCAACTGTGGCCCTCTTTCTGGGTGCCCTGCTGAGAACTCTGGTTCTCTTGTTCTCTCCTTCATGGGCAGATGCCCTTAGAAGGCCACATTCCTCCCCCTCCCTTCCTTATACCAGCCAGACTGGCCTCTTTCCGGCCAAGGGTGGGGGTGAGGCTTTCCGTAGGCTCTGTCGTAGCCAGCCGCGCTCTGAGCCATGCGCTGGCATTCCCGAAATATCAGCACTGACATCTGGGAATCTGCCTTCACTGCCACCCACCCGTTTTCCAACTTGGCCATCAGCTCCAAATGCCTTGGCTGCAGTTCTGGGCAGTTCGGTCAGATACGCACTGCCTACCTGATGATTCTCAGATATCTTTTTTTTAATTTTTTATTTTTTATTTTCATTTATTTATTTGACAGGTAGAGTTAGTAAGAAAGAGAGAGAGGTCTTCTTCCGTTGGTTCACTCCCCAAGTAGCCGCTACAGCTGGCGCTGTGCCGATCCAAAGCCAGGAGCCAGGTGCTTCTTCCTGGTCTCCCATGCGGGTGCAGGGCCCAAGCACTTGGGCCATCCTCCACTGCCCTCCTGGGCCAACAGCAGAGAGCTGGACTGGAAGAGCAGCAACCGGGACTAGAACCCGGCACCCATATGGGATGCCTGCACCACAGGCAGAGGATTAACCAAGTGAGCCATGGCACCGGCCCCTAAATATCTTTTTTTAAAGATTTATTTATTTGAAAGTCATATATATGTATAAAATCATACATATATAAAGTCATATATATATATGTATATATAGAGAGGGTGCTTCCATCCACTAGTTCACTCCCCAAATGGCTGCAACAGCCAGGGCTGAGCCAGGCCAGAGCCAGGAGCTTCATCCAGGTCTCACATGTGTGGCAGGGGCACAAGTACTTGGGCCATCGCCCACGGCCTTCCCAGATACATCAGCAGGGAGCTGGATTGGAAGTGGAACAGCCGGGACTTGAACTGGCGCTCCAATATGGGATGCTGCTTAGCTTGCCGGACCACAGCACCAGCCCTCGTATCTTTTTCTCTCTCCAAACCTAACTTCCTAATCCTGGCCTCCCAGTGCCCCTCTGCATTGGCTGCAGGACTCTGTGCAGGGCCAGCCCTTCCCCTACCAGGTTGTGCTGTGAATCCACCATGTAGGAGCCCCCTGGCCGCTGGTTGTGTGGCCTCACAGGGAGGCATCCACGTCCCTCACTGCCTGACAGAGCAGACCTGCTCTCCCGGAGCGCTCCTGCCCTCTTGGGCACTGCCAGCCATGGAGTGAGTCCTGAACCTCTGGGGTTCCTGGGCCTGCTGCTCCTACAGGCCCCAGGGGAAACTTTATAGCCGGGGAGAGATGTCTTCTGTCTCCCTCCCCTTCTTCCAGGTCATCAGCTTCCTGTAACCCCCTCCCCAATTGCCTCCTCCTCCTCAAATCTGCCATGGTCTCCCAAGAGCGAGGGGCTTTTGTCATAGGGTAAAGTTGGCATTCTGACCAGACGAGGCAATTGTTACCATGCCTGCCTGGTCCAGGTGCCAGGGATGGATCTGTGGCACACAGTTGGGTCCTCCAAGGACCATAGTCTGATGGGGAGGTACCCCCAAACACATAAGCCCAAAGTGCAGGGCAGTGTAAAGTGTGGGAACACGGAACACAGGAGAGGCAGGAGAGAGCAGCTCTTGACTGAGGTCGCTGAGAGACAGGCAGAACTTACAGACTCAGTTCCCAGAAACGGTGCCCGCACATGGGAGACTGGGCAAAGTCTGCTGAAAGGAAGAATGAGCGAGGAGGTAGTGAGGTTGTGCGGAATGCAAGCCCACAGGTTGGTCCCCACTTGAGACCCCTGCATCACGTATCAGAGTCCTGGGCTTCGAGTCCTGGCTCCGTTTCTGATCCAGCTTCCTGCTAATGGAGGCAGCAGGTGACGGTCCCAGTGCTTGGTTCCTTGCCGCCCGTAAGGGAGACCTAGATTGAGTTCCAGGCTTCCGGATGTGGCCTGGCGCCACCCCAGCTGTTGTGTGCACTTGGGGAGTGAGCCAGTGGATGGAAGATCTCTATCTCTCTGCCTTTCAAATAAAAGTGAGTATAAATAAGTTGAAAAATTAAAAATAAATACAGGCGAAGGGTCTGTGAGAGATTTGGGAAAACAATATACTTGTGAAGGTTTTATCATAAAAGATGTGGTACCAGCCGGTGCTGTGGCTCACTTGGCTAATCCTCCGCCTGTGGCACTGGCACCCCGGGTTCTAGTCCCGGTCAGGGCACCGGATTCTGTCCCGGTTGCTTCTCTTCCAGTCCAGCTCTCTGCTGTGGCCCGGGAAGGCAGTGGAGGATGGCCCAAGTGCTTGGTCCCTGCACCCCATGGGAGACCAGGAGAAGCACCTGGCTCCTGGCTTTGGATCGGTGCAGTGCGCTGGCCTTAGTGGCCATTTGTGGGGTGAACCAACGGAAGGAAGACCTTTCTCTCTGTCTCTCTCTCACTGTCTAACTCTGCCTGTCAGAAAAAAAAAAAAAAAAAAAAAAAAAAAAAGATGTGGTACCGTCATATGGGGCGATTTGAGATTTATTTATTTGAAAGAGTGACACACAGAGAGAAAGAGAGATATTTATTTTTCATCTGCTGATTCACTCCACAAATGCTCGAAACAGCCGGGCAGGACTGGGCCAGGCTAAAACCAGGAGCCGGAAACTCTATACCAGTCTCTCGTGTGGGTGGCAGGGGCCCAGGAGCTTGGGTCATCTGCTGCTGCTTTCCCAGGTGTGTTGGCAGGGAGCTGGACCAAAAGCGGAGCAGCTGGGACTCAAATCAGTGCTCAGAGGTAGGATGCTGGCATCACACGTTGTGGCTTAACCTGCTGCACCACAGGGGCAGCTCCTCTAAGACGGTTGTTTTGGAAAGATGTGTGCAGTGTGTAGGGACAGTGTAGCACCACAGGGCTAGTGATCGTGGGGTATGACCGTCCCCTAGCCAAAGGGACAGGGGAGAGAGCGCCAACTGGAACCTCGACCCAGAGAGACTACACGGAGAATACCACCTGTAGGGATCTGTGGCCTCCGTGGGAGGGTCATAACAGCCCCAGGTGGCGCCCAGGGGAGGGAGCCAGGAGGTGAAATATCCCAGCCTTTTTCTCTCCCTTCCTTCAGCCTCATTGCATCTCTTCATGGGTCCCTTTGGAAGCTGGAGGGCAAGTTCAAGGTCACACAAGCCAGCCTCCTGGGGCGTGACTGGGTGGAGGCAGAGGGACCAGGCGCAGGGTTGCGGGGAGAGTGGGAGGCCACCGTAATGGTCACCTTTGGGGAGTAAATGCTTCTGCCGAGAGGCTGGGCCAGGTCTCGACAGGCAGTCACCGACCCTCTAGCTGAAAATACCACGTAGGGCCGCAGAGGTCCTCAAAGATGGAGCAGACACTCCTGTTGTATTGTCGGCACCTGTGAGTAGCTGTTATGTTTCTTCTTTGTTCTCAGGCAAATAATCTCCCGAAAGCCATCGCGGCCGCTCACACGTTTCTCCTGAAGCACCCGGATGACGAGATGATGAAGAGGAACATGGCATATTACAAGAGCTTGCCCGGGGCAGAGGACCACATCAGAGACCTGGAAACCAAGTCTTACGAGGTGTGTTTAGGTTTGCACGTGGTGGGCAGTGCGCAGACTTGCTTCAGAGGCCTGGCGTGATGAACAGTAGGGATGTGGGGTGATACTTAGAATTACCACAGGAGAAATGATTGATCTTTGCACAAAGTTGCTACTTAAGCATGAGTTTTTACCGGAGTTCATTCGTGCTGAATGAGTTGTAATTTGAGAAGGACTTTTTGCATTCTATGATTTTAAAGTCACCTTTCATTTAAATGCTACATTTTAGAAACATGGTTCTTTGATCATTCAGTTTTAAGGTGGTAAAGACATGTCTTGGAAATCATCCAGCAATCACTAGGAACGCAAGGACTAGAAGCATAAATATCCATTGTTTTGTTTGTTTTTAGAAGATTTATTTTCTTTTATTATCATTTTTTGAGAGGCAGAGTTAGACAGAGAGAGAGAGACAGAGAGAAAGGTTTCCCTTCCGTTGGTTCACCCCCCCCAAAATGGTCGCTACAGCCATCGCGCTGCGCTGATCCGAAGGCAGGAGCCAGGTGCTTCTCCTGGTCTCCCATGCGAGTGCAGGGCCCAAGGACTTGGGCCATCCTCCACTGCCTTCCTGGGCCACAGCAGAGAGCTGGACTGGAAGAGAAGCAACCGGGATAGAATCCGGCGCCCTGACCGGGACTAGAACCCGGGGTGCCGGCGCCGCAGGCGGAGGATTAGCCAAGTGAGCCGTGGCACTGGCCATTGTTTGTTGTTTAGAAGATTTATTTTTATTTATTTGAAAGGCAGAGTTACAGAGAGGGAGAGACAAAGTAAAGGGGGGGGGGGAGAGAGAGAGAGAGAGAGAGAGAGAGAGATTGAGGCTGAAACCAGGAGCCACGTACTCTATCCAGGTCTCCCATGTGGTGGCAGTGGCCCGAGCACTTCCCAGGCACATGAGCAGGGAGCTGGATTAGAAGTGAGTCATCCGGCCGGCGCCTTGGCTCACTAGGCTAATCCTCCGCTTAGCGGCGCCGGCACACCGGGTTCTAGTCCCGGTTGGGGCGCCGGATTCTGTCCCGGTTGCCCCTCTTCCAGGCCAGCTCTCTGCTGTGGCCAGGGAGTGCAGTGGAGGATGGCCCAGGTGCTTGGGCCCTGCACCCCATGGGAGACCAGGAAAAGCACCTGGCTCCTGGCTCCTGCCATCAGATCAGCGCGGTGCGCCGGCCGCAGCGCGCCGGCCGCGGCGGCCATTGGAGGGTGAACCAACGGCAAAGGAAGACTTTTCTCTCTGTCTCTCTCTCTCTCACTGTCCACTCTGCCTGTCAAAAAATAAAAAAAAAAAAATTAAAAAAAAAAAAGAAAAAAGAAAAAAGAAGTGAGTCATCCGGACTCAAACCGGGGCTCATGTAGGCTGCTGGCATCACAGGCAGTGGTTTAACCTGTTGTGCCGCAAAGCTGGCCCTATCCTTTTTTTTTTTTTTTTTTTTTTGCAAAAAGATTTATTTATTTGAAAGATAGAGTGATACAGAGTGAGAAATCTTCATCTGCTGATTCACTCCCCAGATGGCCTCAGTGGCTCAGGGGAGCCAGGCCAAAGCCAGGACTCCATTTGGGTCTCCCAGGGGCACAAGCGGTTCGGTCATTTTCTGCTGCTTTCCCAGACACATTAACAGGGACTAGATCAGAAGTGGAGCAGCCGGGACTCAGTCTCACCCATACAGGATGCTGGTGTCTCAGCCCGCAGCTTAACTCTGTGCCACAGTGCCAGCCCCCCATCCATTCCTTTAAAAAGAATTTTATTTATTTCAGAGGAAAAGACGGAGATTGAGACAGATAGTGTGTTTGTATGTGTAAGAGAGAGAGAGGGAAAGAATGAGAGAGCTCCCATCACTGATTCATTCTCCAAATACCTGCTACAACTGGGACAGGGCCAGGCTGAAGTCTGGACCTGGAACCTCAATCTGGGTCTCCCATATGGCTGGCAGGGACCCAACCATTTGAATTATCACCTGCAGCCTTCCAGGGTGTCCATTAGGAAGCTGGGATCAGCAGGCAGAGCCAGGACTTGAACCCAGGCACTTGGGTATGGGAGGTGGGCATCCCAAGCAACATCTTAATTGCCCGCAGGCCTGCTGGGGCATCCAGGCCTGTCTCCTGCTGTCTGAGAGCCGTCTAGCCGGAGGGGCGGGGGCTCTCCCATGACTCAGAGCACTGCCCCTGCTTCCGGGTCTTCAGCCCTGCTTTCTCTCCACCTCCGCCTCCACTCTGCCTGGTCCCCGACTCCTGGGAGTCTGGAGCCCACCACCTGTCTCAGGGCGGAGTGGCTTCGGGAGGCATGATCCCTCGGGCAGCAGGCAGGCTGCTACGGCTCTGATCGGGCTTGCGGCCCTGCCATCCGCCCATGCCCAGCCCCAGCCCTCTATGGACCCCAGAGCCTGCAGGTGCCAACGGGGCGTGGAGCTCTCGTCCCCCCCGGACCAGCCCTCTCCTGTGCTGATTTTGCCTTTGTGTTTTCCCAAAAGTTGTTGACATCTGTCGCCTGCTGCCTGCTCCTCTCCCCTTCTCCCATAAAGAGAATATATAGCTTTCAACTCCTGGGTGTGGCCGGGCTGCCCTCCTGTGCTCCCAGGGAGCCCTCTGCTTGGCTCCCGTCTCGGTGCCCCTGTTACCAACTTACCCAGGCCTTGGGAAAGGCACCCTCAGTCCTCTACCAGGGCACGCTGCCTCCCTGGGAGCTTTTATTTTAAATTTTATTCTTTCAAATTGAGAGAGCATTTGTCCACTGGTTCATGTTAGCACCCAGCCAGGACTAAAGCTAGAAGCTGGGAACTCAGCTGAGGTCTCGATTGAGTGGCAGGAACCCAATTCCTTGAGCCATCACCGTGGCCTCCCAGGGTCTGTGTTAGCAGGAAGCTGCAGTCGGCAGCCAGAGCCAGGTATCAACCTTACTATGATTTGGGATGTGGGCGTCCTAACTGGTAGACCAGACACCTGCCCCTGCCTGGGAGCTTAAAGGAGAGCTACACTTGCTAGCTGGGGTCTGAAGCTTGGGGGAAAACTCCAGATCCAAGGGCTGGCTCTCAGATACCCCCGGTCAGGAGCAGCTGGAAAGGAAGTCCACGTGGAGTCTTAGCTCGTCTCCAGGCGCTTTCTGGCCTCCCCAAGTCAGCAGGCTTTGCGTGTATCCAGGGGCTCCACTTTACGTGCAGACTGAGCTGCTCCCGCACTCCTAGTTAGTTCTCCTTCACGTGGTCAGGTCAGCAGCGAGCGGGAAGCCTGCGGCGGAGGTGTCACGTGCGGGAAGCCTGCGGCGCATGCGTCACGTGGCGCGTGGTCGCCCTTCCCACTGACTGATGCTGGCACGTGGCACTCCCATTTCAGGTTTCAGAGCAGCAGGTGCCTGCCCTCAAACTCACTGCCTTGGTTCAGTTGTTAAGTCAGGTTATTGGCCGGCGCGGCGGCTCACTAGGCTAATCCTCCACCTGTGACGCCAGCAACCTGGGTTCTAGTCCCAGTTGGGGCACTGGATTCTGTCCCGGTTGCCCCTCTTCCAGGCCAGCTCTCTGCTGTGGCCAGGGAGTGCAGTGGAGGATGGCCCAAGTGCTTGGGCCCTGCACCCCATTGGAGACCAGGAGAAGCACCTGGCTCCTGGCTTCGGATCAGCGCGATGCTCTGGCCACGGCGGCCATTGGAGGGTGAACAAACGGCAAAGGAAGACCTTTCTCTCTGTCTCTCTCTCTCACTGTCCACTCTGCCTGTCAAAAAAAAAAAAAAAAAGGTTATTGAGATGCATGTAATTTACTTACAATCTGTTTATTTCTAAGTCTGCAGCTCAGTGAGTTTTGACATGAAGCAGCCTGTTTGCATCACCCCCAAGATGTTCCCTCCTGCCCCTTGGCAACCCAGCCTTTGCTCTGTCCCTTACTCTGATTTCTGTCACGAAGTTTTCCCTTCATTCAAATTTGGTTTTGTTTCCAAGCACTTGCTACTTCTGCAATTAAACTCAAAAGGGTAGAGAAATCTAGAGTTAAGGAAAGTTACTGATTGACTTCATGTTTAATTAAAGGTTGATGTGGCTTCTTTTTAAAAAAGGTTTCTTTGTTTATTGGAAAGGGAGACAGAGAGACAGATGGAGAGAGTTGTTCCCTCAGGTTTGCTCCCCAGTTGCCTGCAATAGCTGGAACTGGGTCAGGCCAAAGCCAGGAGCCCTGCATCAGTGTGCGTCTCCCACACATCAGCAGGATATTGGGTTGGGAGTGGAGCTGGGACTTGAACCCACTCTGCTATAGAATGTGGGGATCCCAGGTAGCATCTTTATTTTTTTTTAAGGATTTATTTTTTTTGAAAGCTAGAGTTAGAGAGAGGGAGAGATTCAGAAAGAAAGAGATCCTCCATCCACTGGTTCACTCCCTAGATGGCCACAACAGCCGGAGCTGGGCCAGGCCAAAGCCAGGAGCCAGGAGCTTCATCCTGGTCTCCTATGTGGGTGGCAGGGGCCCAAACACCTGGGCCATCTTCTGCCCCTTTCCCTGGCGCGTTAGCAGGGAGCTGGATCGGGAGCTTAGCAGCCAGGATGCAAACTGGTGCTCCTGTATGGGATGCCGGCATCACAGGAAGCAGTTTGTTCACTGCACAAAACGCCCGTGCTGGTGCGGCTTCCGGAGAGCCGAGGCGGGCGGAACTTCGTGGTGTCCTGGTTCCTGGTGAGAGGATGCGGCCGTTGCTGTTTGTGCCTGGAGCAGGCTCCACTGGCTTCTCCTTGCTTTCCAGAGCCTATTCATCCGAGCGGTGCGGGCGTACAATGGCGAGAACTGGAGAACGTCTATCACGGATATGGAGCTGGCCCTGCCCGACTTCTTCAAGGCCTTCTACGAGTGCCTCGCGGCCTGCGAGGGCTCCAGGGAGATCAAGGACTTCAAGGACTTCTACCTCTCCATAGCAGGTTGGTGGTGGGCCGCGTCCTGGGGTCGAGGGACAGCTGCCCCGGGGACTCTGTCTGCCGTAGGTGCTGGCTCTATGTCTGCATGCCTTCTGGGTGTCGAGTGGCCTCTGAGGAGCTTCTGGGCTTGAATGTCTGGCTGAGAGTAGTTGAAGCCTACATAGATAAGCCTTTCGCTCAGCATTGGCTGTGGGCGAAACAGCTGATAGAATGTTCACGCGCAGGCCTGCAGACCAGGTTGTCGGGGTTTCCAGACACCCCACAGGCTTTTGGTAAAATCACGGGCCTAGGAGCGCCTCTGTATAACCAAGCTAACTTTGATCATGGGGCATTCTCGACACTGAACAGGTAGAATGAAGAGAACAGTGAACCTTTACGTGATATTTTGGAACTTTCTGATCAGGAAAGTAATGTATGCTCATCATAAAGTTTCAAAAACATGAGAAAGAAGAATGAAGAAAGAAAACCTAAAGCATCACCCATAGGTTACCCCAGGTGTTCCTGCAGTGCTGTTAGTGGGCAGTGTCGCTCCAGAAAATGGCCAAGGGCAAGTTTCCCAAAGTGGTTTGGGCACACTGATCCACCCCCAGCACTACGGGCCTGGGCATCTCCATCCTTATTCCAGGTTCTTATCCCCACCAAGACAAGAATTCAAAGCAGAGACATCCATAGGGTGCAGGCGTGTGAGCAGGATTTATTTAAAAGAGAAAGCGAACACACACCTGCATGTGAGTGTGGGCACCCCGCACAGAGAGAGAGAGAGAGAGAGCCATCATGAGTCGGCCAGGAGAGGAGGAGGCCCAGGGACAGGAGGAGGCGTGGTGGACGGAAGAAGGGGCTGCCCCCACCATGACCGGCCTTTTTATGCGGTGGTAGTGACTGTGCAGTTGAGTGTGCGTGAAGTGTTCTGGAGTTTTCTTCACACCTCCGTGTAGAGTCTGACTGCCACACGGCCATCATCACGTCTCCTCCTTCCATTCAGACACGCCAGAGGGAAGCTTCCTGTGAGTCCTCTTTATACAGAGGCACTGTGAGGCCGGCGCCGCGGCTCACTAGGCTAATCCTCCGCCTTGCGGCGCCGGCACGCCGGGTTCTAGTCCCAGTCGGGGCGCCGGATTCTGTCCCGGTTGCCCCTCTTCCAGGCCAGCTCTCTGCTGTGGCCCGGGAGTGCAGTGGAGGATGGCCCAAGTGCTTGGGCCCTGCACCCGCATGGGAGACCAGGAAAAGCACCTGGCTCCTGGCTTCGGATCAGCGCGGTACGCCGGCCGCAGCGCACCAGCCGCAGCGGCCATTGGAGGGTGACCCAACAGCAAAGGAAGACCTTTCTCTCTGTCTCTTTCTCTCACTGTCCACTCTGCCTGCCAAAAAAATAAAAATAAAAAAAAAAATAAAAAAGAAAATAATGGCTCTGAAAACGCGTGTGTTTTCCAGATCATTATATAGAGGTTCTGGAATGCAAAATACAGTGCGAAGAGAACCTCACCCCTGTCATCGGCGGCTACCCCGTGGAGAAGTTTGTGGCCACCATGTATCATTATTTGCAGTTTGCTTATTACAAGCGTAAGTAGTCTTCTGCAAGCCCTGAGATCGTAGGTGATGTGCTTAATCCTTTGAAGACTCAGCTTCCCCACCTGTGAAATGGGAGCATTGTTCCATACCTATGGCTGTTGAGTTCAAGGTCACTTTGGAAGCCCTGGGGCCACGCTTTGCATGAAAAGTGGCCTGGGCCGGCGCCGCGGCTCAATAGGCTAATCCTCCGCCTAGCGGCGCCGGCACACCGGGTTCTAGTCCCGGTCGGGGCGCCGGATTCTGTCCCGGTTGCCCCTCTTCCAGGCCAGCCCTCTGCTGTGGCCAGGGAGTGCAGTGGAGGATGGCCCAGGTGCTTGGGCCCTGCACCCCATGGGAGACCAGGAAAAGCACCTGGCTCCTGGCTCCTGCCATCGGATCAGCGCGGTGCGCCGGCCGCAGCGCGCCGGCCGCGGCGGCCATTGGAGGGTGAACCAACGGCAAAGGAAGACCTTTCTCTCTGTCTCTCTCTCTCACTGTCCACTCTGCCTGTCAAAAAAAAAAAAAAAAAAAAGAAAAGTGGCCTGGTGGTAGTCGGCACAGGCGCTGGAGCCAGGCTCCCTGCTCGAGGGCAGTTCCAGCATTGTCACCAGTTACTTCTCTGTGCCTCAGTTTCCCTGGTTGCAGAGCAGGGATATTACCATGCTAGGATCTCCGTGACGGTTCAGTGAGCTCAGAGACGTGGAGAGCGTAGGGGGCCGCACGGAGCACACCCATGCCGGGTGAGGGTTTGTCTCCTGGGTCCTGGCTTCCCTCTCCCCATCCCAGATTGCTGGGGTTCAGGTCCTCCCTTGACCTGATATTGGAATTTTATCCGGCAGAACCTTCTCAGCGGGCCGAGGGGGGCGAGGGGGAGAGGAAGTGGTTCGGAGCTGGACTGCACGCCCGTGTCCCTGGCCCTCCTCTCCCTGTAACTGACGGTGCCCAGGGCCCCTTTCGGGAGCTGCGCATCCCCGGGTCATTCAGGAGGGTTCCTAGGGACAAACGCGGCAGGCACTGTTCTGCCCTCGTGAAGACGTGCCGGGGCCCTGGATGGCAGGTTCCCAGCCAGCCTAGACAGCCTGGGTCACGCTTTACTGTTGGGAGCGGCCACCCTGAGCTTGGAGTCCGGGAGTGTTCCTGCCACACCCGGGCTCTGGAAGCCTGCGGGTCCTCTGTGGGTGAGAAACTGGCAGAGACTCAGAATCACCTGCAGCTTTGCGTCCCCCCCCCCCCCCCCCCGGGGCACCTTTGCTTCCTGGGGTGACAGGTAAACAGGAAGAGTAAAATGTACCTCCTGAAAGCCTGCCCTGTTTGCAACTCTTTCTGCTGGTTTCCTGCACTGCAGTCCCTCAGGGCAGGTGTTCTGGTTTAAACACATTCCAGCTCTTGTGGGCCTCCCGCGGGACCAGGAGGGGGCCCTGGTTTTAGAGCTGTCACTGGGAAGCAGCCGCTGGGTGACACAATGTATTCATGCCCCAGCTCTGCATACACCTGCCAACCAGGGCTCTGGCCAAAGGAGTGTTCCCGGGTCCGAAGTTGGAGTGCAAGGAGCCAGAGCCAGTACCCAGGGACTTGCCTCGTGTCTCTTCCCTTTGCCCCTTCCCCACCTCCCCCAAGTCCACCCCCGAGACCTGCAGAATCCCTGTGCTGAAGGTGCAGTGCAGAGTTAGGAGGCTGGGGTGAGGAGGCACAGGAGGCGGCAGGCACAGGTGATTTTTCAGAGCGTCTTCAGCCCCGAGCGTCCCCTGTCGTTTGAGTTTACCAGGTCTGGTTGGGTTGTAGGGGAGCCCGCTTGTATCTGACAGTGGTGGTCCCTGGGCACGGCAGGCCCCCACTGGGGAGCCCATTTGCTGAGAAATCCTCCAGTCTCCTCAGCCCCAGGCTGGCTGGGCCTTGGGACCCCACCTTCTTCCCTGCCTGGCTCCAGGGGCCTGAGACCAGCCCAGGTCGCCACAGCGGAGGTGCTACCTAGGCATTTCTGAAAAGCATCTGCCCAGCAGGGGCTTCCTTGTCTCAAAACCGGCCTGGGGGCTGCCGCAGGAGTGTGGCCGTGACCTGGCCGTGACCTGGCCGAGCCCCTGAGTCTGGCACAGGCTTTCCTGAGGAGGGGGCTGGGAGGACAGGCGTGTCCTTGACCCCTTGCTTTAGGAAGCTGGGCTTCCAAGAAGTGGGCCGGGGCGGGGGGGCCTGCAGGACCAGCTTCGCTGATTGCCTGCCCCGTGCTATCCCCTCCCAGTGAGCGACCTGAAGAACGCAGCCCCGTGTGCGGTCAGCTACCTGCTCTTCGACCAGCACGACAAGGTCATGCAGCAGAACCTGGTATATTACCAGTACCACAGGGACAAGTGGGGCCTCTCGGACGAGCACTTCCAGCCCAGGCCGGTGAGTCCCTGCCCGCCGGGAGACGGCTTCCCACCTGGGGGAGGGCTGGCCTGGGCATCTGGCCTCCGCTGAGACAGCCACACCCCACAGACCGGACTGCTTGGGCCCAAGTTCCAGCCACCAGCTTCCTGCTCATGCACACCCTGGGAGGGAAGCAGGTGATGGGTGGCCCAAGTCCTGCTCCCTGCCTCCCACACTGAGTCCCAGGCTCCTGGTTTAGACCTGGCCCAGCCCTGGCTGCTGTGTCTGTTTGGAGAGCGAGCCAGCCAATGGAAGATCTCTCTCTCTCTCTCTCTCTGATTCTCATTCTCTCTCTTTGTCTCTTGCCCTGCCTTTCAAATAGATAAAAATAAGGAGAGAAAGTGTTATTTCAGAAGTGAAGGAGAATTTTTCTATAGTTTTGTCTTTAAACACTTTACTACCTTTTTTTTTTTTTTTTTTTTTTTTAAGATTCATTTATTTATTTGCCTGTTTGTTTATTTGAAAGGCTGGGTGACAGAGAGAGGTAGAGATCTTCCATTCATGGGTTCATTTTCCAAATGCCTGCCATGGCTGAAGCCAGGAAGCTGGAACTCCATTAGGGTCTCCCACATGGGTGCCCAAGTGCTTGGGTCATCTTACCCTGGTTTCCCAGGTGCATTAGCAGGGAGCTGGAATGGAAGCGGACCATGCGCTCAGGTAGGACTTGGACCAGCACCCATGTGGGAAACCGGTACTGCAAGCTGTGGCTTAGCTCTCTGTGCCACAGTGCTGGTCCCTTTACTGCCTTTTCTAGATTCTGAATCCCTGGAAATCCTATACATTTTAAATATTATTGAAATATTTTACTTAGAAAATCAGCATTCATAATCCCACACATTCTCTTTATCTTTTCTCCTGCTTGATAGCTATACAAGAGGGCTTCAAACAGTTTGTGGTTCTTGGAATTCAAAGATAAATTTATTTTGATCTAAAAAAAATTGTTTTAAAAATTTTTTTCTTTCAGGGGCTGGCACTGTGGTGTAGTCGGTAAAGCTGCGGCCTACAGTGCTGGCATCCCACATGGGCACCAGTTTGAGTCCCAGCTGTTCCACTTCCAATCCAGCTCTCTGCTGATACACTTGAGAAAGCGGTGGAAGATGGCCCAGGTGTTTGGACCCCTGCACCCATGTGGGAGACCCAGAGGAAGCTCCTGGCTTTTGGGGAGTGAACCAGTGGATAGAAGATCTCTCTCTCTCTCTCTCTCTCTCTCTCTCTCTCTCTCTCTCTCTAACTCTTCCTTTCAAATAAAGAAATAAATATTTAAAAAGTTATTTTTTTTCTCCCAACCCTGTTCCTTACACTAGTGGTTGGCTACCAGCTCCAAAACCTGTTCTGTCCCCCCCCCCCCCCTCCTTTTTTTGAAAAGATTTGTTTGTTTATTTGAAATTCAGAGTAACACAGAGAGAGGAGAGGCAGAGAGAGAGGCACTTCCATGCACTGGTTCACTCCCCAGATGGCTGCAAGGGCCAGGTCAAAGCCAGGAGCCTGGAACTCCACGCAGGTCTCTCATGTGGGTGGCAGGGCCCTAACTCTTGGCCATCATCTCCTGCTTTCCCAGGTACACTAGCAGGGAGCTGGATTTGGACTGGAACTGCCTGTCAAATGGGATGCAGTAGCTTAACCCTCTGTGCCACACGGCTGGCCCTGGTGCAGGGATGTTTTGAAATCCATGCATACTGAGGGGTCTTTGAAAAGTTCATAGAAATGCATATTATGAAAAAAAAAACTGGATGGATTTCAAATTTCTTTGCACCAAAATAAACTTTAAATATCATTCTCCATGAACTTTCTGAAGTACCTTTATGTATTTACCCACATATGCTGGTGTGTTCCTTAATTTTTACAAAAGTGACATCATACTTTGCATACTGTTTTATAACTTGCTTTTGTCTTTCTGACAATTTATGAACCTTTTTCCTTGTCACACCCATATACCTACTTGGTTATTTTTTATTTTTATTTTTATTTTATTTATTTATTTTTTTGACAGGCAGAGTGGACAGTGAGAGAGAGAGACAGAGAGAAAGGTCTTCCTTTGCCGTTGGTTCACCCTCCAATGGCTGGTGCACCGCGCTGATCCGATGGCAGGAGCCAGGTACTTATCCTGGTCTCCCATGCAGGTGCAGGGCCCAAGCACTTGGGCCATCCTCCACTGCACTCCCTGGCCACAGCAGAGAGCTGGCCTGGAAGAGGGGCAACCAGGACAGAATCTGGCACCCCGACCGGAACTAGAACCTGGTGTGCCAGCGCCGCAAGGTGGAGGATTAGCCTAGTGAGCCGCGGCGCCGGCAAGGAACTACCTTCCAAGGGTGTGCACCTGTGACCTAAAGCGCTCTCGCTAGGCCCACCCCAGACCCTGTCATCAGAGCCAGTCTGCACCCTTCATCTACTAACCATTGACGTCAGACTTTGGGGACTAAGCCCCCAGGAGATGACCCATGGGGGACACCCAAACTGTTATCCAAGTTATCACATGGTCTTCACTGTGTTTCCAGTGGACTTTATGCATGCTGTCCCAGGTTGTCATAACACAAGGGTGCTTCACAAAGTTCATGGAAAGTAAAATTGAAAGGTGTTTATTTTTGTGCAACATAAATTGCAGTCTGTCGCTCCCCGTCTTCACGGAGGAACGACACAGGACCCTGCGCTGTTCTTTTGTCTGCTCGGCCCTCCCTGGGTTTGCTGCTGGTTCTTCCCGGGTTGGCTACTGTCCCTTCCACCTCCGTGGAAGGGCGGTTCCCCCTGCCACTTTCCCCACTTCCGCGGGGGAGCGGCACACCGCCGGCCGGCTCTCTCGGGGGCTGCACAGGTGTTCCTTCAGATAGATGTTCCTGGTGCATGTTGTCTCTCTCCTCCTTTATAGTCCTCTTCCACCAATCCCAACTCTGCTACCCACACGCCGAGTACGCTGCTTTCCTCCAGTCAGGAGCAGGTCCTGCTGTTTATTGGTTGAACTGGAGGCAGCTGTGTAGAAGCTGTTTCCTCCTCTCCCAGCGCCATATTGTGGGAGAGCAGATGCATAGAATAAGTCTTAATTCCAGTAACAGTCTAGTCCGAGTTGCTCCCAGTTGCTCCCCACAGCAGTCCATGCATATCCTTTTCTGAATATGAACTTTGCATTTTTGGACTTTTGAAGACCCCTGAGCACAGTCATGCACACAAGCTATTGCACACTCTCTCATTCACCCAGTGTTGGCCATGATTTTCCTTTTTTTTTTTTTTTTTTAAAGATTTGTGTATTTATTTGAATGTCAGAGTTACAGAAAGAGAAGGAGACACAGAGAGAGAGGAGAGAAATCTTCCATGTGCTGATTCACTCCCCAAATGGCCACAATGACTGGGAGCCTGGAGTCTCTTCCCAGTCTCCCACGTGGGTGCAGGGGCCCAAGCACTTGGGCCATCCTCTGCTGCTTTTCCAGGGCATGTTAGCAGGGAGCTGGATTGGAAGTGGAGCAGCTGGACTCGAACTGGTGCCCATGTGGGATGCCGGTGCTGCATACAGCAGCTTAATCTGCTGCACTATAGTGCCGCCCCCCCCCCCTTTTTTTTTAATTGAGGTAAAATTCATATACCATTGCATTGAACATTTTCAGCGTACAATTCGGTGGTTGTTAGTATATTCTTACGGCTGTATAACCATGACCACTGTATAGTCCTGAACATTCTCATCACCCCAGAAGGAAATCCAGTGCCCTGACTGCCCACTGCCGCCCCACCCCCAACACACACCCCATCCTCGCATCTTATCAGCATCAGCAGGGGGGGCACTAAGCTGTCCTCTGCTTGTGTGTGCACAGGAAGCGGTTCAGTTCTTCAACGTGACCACCCTGCAGAAGGAGCTGTATGACTTCGCCAAGGAGCACATAATGGATGACGATGAGGCAAGTCTGCACGCACAGCACGCGCGGGCTAAGATCGCGGGAAGGCCCCCGGGATAAGGAATGGAAGGGAACTCAAGGAAGACTGACGCAGGTGTTCTGAGGAAAGCCGGAACGCGGCGGGGAGAGAACGGCTGTCTAGGAAACCGCACGAGAGGCCTCGTTTCCTGATGGCGAGATGGGCACTGGGAGTCTGCCCTGCTCCTCCAGCCTCCCCTTTCTGTTTATTTGAAAGTCAGTGACAGAGAGATCTTTCCACCCACTCCTCAACAAGGGCTGGGCCAGGCCGAGGCCAGGAGCCTGGAACTCCATCCGGGTCTCCCACGTGAGTGCAGGGGCCCCAGCACTTGGGCCATCTTCTGCTGCTTTCCCAGGCCATAGCAGAGAGCTGGATCAGAAGTGGAGCAGCTGGGACTTGAATCGGCGCTCGTGTGGGTGCCGGTGTCACAGACAGACTTAACCTGCTGTGCTGCGATGCCGGCCCTCTTACCTATTTATTATATAGACAGAGCGACAAAGAGAGAGAGAGAAGAGAGAGAGAAAGAGATATCTTTCATCCTCTGGTGTACTCCCCAAATACCCCCAACAGGTAGGGCTGGGCCAGGCTGAAGCCAGGAGGCTGGAAAACTCCATGTGGGTCCCCCATATGGGTGGCCTGGACCCAAGTACCTGAGCCAGCATCTGCCACCTCCCAGGTGTGCATTAACGGGAGGCAGTGCAGGAGTTGATCCCAGGCACTCTGAAGGGGGGTGCAAGTATACCAGTCCACTTGCTGCACCATGACACGTGTCCACCAAACATCTTTTTTTTTTGGCAGGGGGTGGGATTTTTAAAAGAAGATTATTATGTATCTGAAAGGCAAAATGACGTATGACAGTAGGAAAGACCGAGAGAATGAGATCTCCCATCCACTGGTTCCCACCCCAAATGGCTCCAACAGCCAGGTCTGGGCCACACTGCAGCCAGGAGCCAGGACGCCTCCCTGGTCTCCCGCGTGGCGCAGGCCATCTCCTGCCGCCTTCCCGGGTCATTAGCTGCATTGGAAGCAGGGTGGCTGGGGCTCACACCTGCGCTCCAGTAAGCGATGATGGCGTTGCAAGCAGAGGCTTATTAACCCACTTCTGCATGCCAGCTCCTCTCATAATTTTTTAGCTTTATCAAGACAGCAAGTTTTTACTTGCTCAACACTCTGAAGATACCTGATCTCAATTTTTCTCAGACTATTAGTATCTTTTTTTTTTTTAATAACTTACATGCTTGCTGTAAGCATTTATCGTTCTCTGGAGTTGCTGGCCCTTTCTAATCCGTCTCACTCAGCCCACTCCTTTGTAATAAGCCGTGACTGGTCGTGGAGTGGTCATTTTACGGTGGGGCAGCCACGCGACAGAAACGCTATCACTAGGAGTGGCCAAAGGATATGCTTGGAACAAAGTGGGAAGCGCTTTCTAAGAATTCTGAGGGCCAGCGCTGTGGCGTCGCGGGTAAAGCCACCGTCTGCAGTGCCGGCATCCCATACGGGCGCTGGTTCCAGTCCTGCCTGCTCCACTTCCGATCCAGCTCTCTGCTAAGGCCTGGGAAAGCAGTGGAAGATGGCCCAAGTCTCTGGACCCGTGCACCTGCATGGGAGACCAGGAAGAAGCTCCTAGCTTTGGATTGGCACAGCTTTGGCTGTTTCAGCCATCTGGGGAATGAACCAGTGGATAGAAGACCTCTCTCTCTGCCTCTCTGTAATTCTGCCTTTCAAATAAACAAATCTTTAAAAAACAAAAACAAAACAAGGAATTCTGAGGCTTTGCCCTTCTGAGAGCTAGAAGAGAGCTGGGTCTGACCCCTCTTGTGCCAGAGGAGGCAGCTGGGGACAGAGTTTCTGATGGGTTGTAGGAGAGAAGTGAACGCAGGCGAGGAAATGGGGAGGTACTGGGGCTGCACCAGGTGGCGGTGCAGCTCGTCCCGCTGTCCCTGCAGGAGGCCTCTGTCAGTCACCGCAGCAGCATGCTCCACTCCTCAATCATTGATCTTTTTTTTTTTCTTTAAAGATTTATTTACTTATTTGAAAGATGGAGTTACAGAGAGAGAGTGAGTTCTTCCATCTGCTGGTTCACTCCCGAAATGGTTGCAATGGCCAAGACTGGACCAGATGGAATCCAGAAACCAGAAGCTTCATCCGGGTCTCCCCACGTGGGTGCAGGGGCCTAAGTACTTGAGCCATCTTCTGCTGCTTTCCTGGGTGCATAAGTGGGGAGCCGGGTTGGATGTGGAACAGCTGGGACTTGAACTAGTGCCCATATGGGATGCCAGTGCTGCATGTGGCTACTTAACCTGCTGCACCACAACTCTGGCTCCAGTCATTGATCCTTTGTGATCACGGTGTCTCCCTACCTTTAACACACTCATTGGGCTCTGAGCAAGACAAATCAACCCAGGCCCTGGTCCTTGAAAACTTTGCAGTCTGGAGATTGAGGCAGAAAGGAACCAGTTAAAATGGGCTCCCCTGGGGCTCATGGTGTGGTGCAGTAGGGTAAGCCTCCCCCTGCAGTGCCAGCATCCTATACGGGCGCCGGTTCAAGTCCCAGCTGCTCCTCTTCCAATCCAGCTCCCTGCTAATGGCCTGGGAAAGCAGCAGAAGATGGCCCAAGTCCTTGGGCCCCTGCACCCACATAGGAGACCTGGAAGAAGCTCCTGGCTCCTGGCTTTGGATCAGTCCAGCGATGTGGCCATTTGGGGAGTGAACTAGCAGATGGAAGATCTCTCTGTCCCCTTCTCTGTCTGTAACTCTGCTTCTCAAATAATTAAATAAAATCTTCAAATCAACACAAAAAAACCCCTACATTCCCCAGGGAGAACTATGGAGGGAGAGGAAGGGGTGGGGAGGGGTACCCAGAGGAGGGGACACTCGGCAACTTGTCACAGAGAGTGGCTGGGCTGACCGTCTCAACAGAGGCCACCTGTGTGGGCCACAGAGCACGTGCCACTGGGTTCACATGGAGAGGACGCCAGGGCCCCCCACAGGGAGAAGTCGGGCGCTCCGGGCTCCAGGCCAGTGGGCACAACCTGCCTCAGCCCAGGTGGGGGCTGGCAGTGGCCCCTTGCAAACGGTCAGCTCTGTTGCCGTCGGTGGCCCACCTAACAGGTGTCCTGTTGTCTCTCACAGGGAGAAGTTGTAGAATATGTGGATGACCTGTTGGACCTGGAGCAGACTGGCTAGTCCGCAGCCGCCAGAGGGACTTCCTGTCCGTGTTCAGGACACACAGATCCTCCATCTTACTTTTCCCAGCAGCCCGGGCTGTCGATACCTCGGAGCCCCCTTTATAAGGTGAAAGGGACGCCCCGCCGCTCTTCCCGTGTGGAACCAGGGTGAGCCTGCCTTCCCTGCGCTCACCCCGTCTTCTCATCCTCCCGTCTTCCCGTCTGCACACCTGTCCTCGTGGTCACACCTGTCCTCCTCGTGGGCACACCCGTCTTGTGGTCACATCCATCTTCCCGTCTTCCCTGGTGCTAGTATGTGCCTTTGTCACCACTCTGGTTGGAAGGACGGTCTTCCATGACCTGTTCTTGCCCCCATGAATGTCAGTGTTATTATTTTTTAAACAAGAAAACTTACCGAAAAGATGACAGTTGTGCGACCTACTTCGGCCTCTCTACTCTTCCACTTTTAGTCTCAAGTAAATAAGTAACTTTTTTTTATTTAAAAAAGCCTAAGTTTATTATGGTGTAAAAAGAAAATTTGAAGTCCCTGCACAGTTTTTTTTATAATATATATTTTCTATGGTTTTGAAAGTTTTTGCAACAAAAAAAATTTTTTGGGCATCCAAATGGACTCATACTTTTAATTCTATTTTTCTATGAACTTGTTGAAATACTCTCATAAACAAGAGATCAAATGGCGATCGAAGCTATGGGGGAAAATAGAGCAGGGAAGGGGTGAGGAGTCCTGGGGATGAGGCTGCAGAGACCTGGGCAGGGCCGCAGGTCTCAGGCCAAAGTGTTCCTGACAAGGAATCGGTGAGCAGTGCCCTGGAGGCAGAATGCACTCCCAGTGGCCGTGGGACAGCATGGAGGCCGTGTGGAGGAGCGGGTAAGGGGAAGGAGGGAGGGGGGGTGCTAGGGAGAGGCCAGTGTGGGCCGGGGACAGGGCCAGCTAGCTGGGGCCTCGGCAGCCAGGGTAGAGCCGAGATGCACCTTCCCCACTGGCCTCTGACAAGGGTCACTGCAGCTGCCATTGTGTGCAAAACCGGAGAGCGGGCAGGGGCGCGGCAAGGAGGCCCTTCCAGCAGCTCCTGTCTGGGTCTGGGCAGGCAGTAGCAGTGGTACAAAGCAGATCACATCAGGATTCTGGCCCGCAGGGCAGGGTGGGTGGGTGGGAAGGAAGGGCTTTGTGCAAGGCAAGCTGAGGTCGGCGTAGGAGGCTCAGGTTGCTGGTGGCTTGCAGGGTCGAGTAGGCCAGGCCCCAGCAGGGGCCCCGACAGGGCTTTGAGTACGGGTGCTTCCCGTGGGGGCGCCCTCAGGAGAAACCCCTGCCAGCGGCTGCCAGTCACTTGCTGGCACGTGGCTCCACGGAGGGCCACTCTGTAGAAGAGGGGCTGTGGGCCCTGGCAGCCCGGTGCGCAGGAGCCGGGGAGGCTGGGTGCGTGGCCCTGGCCCCACCACGGAGCCATCAGCGTGTCAGTGTCCAGAAGGCCAGGAGGCTGGGCGAGGAAGACTCCTGGAGTGGAGGGATTTAGAGTGTGAAGAAGCAACGGGAAAGAGCCGAGGCCAGTCCCGCTTCTTCCGGGCAAGAGGAAATCAGCCGGAGAAAACCAGGAGAACGGGGCGTCTCGGAAGCCGAGCTTTTGCTTCCTTCAGCCTGTTCCCCTCCAGATAAGCCACCTGTCGGGTGGGACCCCGGGGCATGGAGGCAGGAGGGCACAGCATCTGGGGGACAGGACTTCCCCACAGTGGCTCGGACAGGGGTGGCCCGAGACAGCGTTCGGGTCTTCGCATCTTGGGGGTCGTTGGAGCCCGACACCCACGCGCTTGTGCCTCTTGCAGGTCCCCAGCGTGCTGTCCCCACCCCTGGACACGCAGAGACATCCTTCTGCTCTGTCCCCTCCCCTCCCACGTGGCCTTCTCCCTCTGAGGGCTCCAACCTAGCGCAGGAGCCTGCCTCCTCTGTGTTTGCTTGGATTCGCCCCCAGGGGCCTGCTTGGCCAAGGAGGAGCCAGTGTTATTCTTAGTGATGGAGGCCTCTGTGTCCACACAGCCTCCCACCAGGTCACGCCCCAGCCCTCCTCCGCCCCCCCGACTCAGATCGCTGGCTTCCCCTGTGCCCCAGCTTCCATTGTACCTCGGCCCGCCCCCTGCTGCACCAGAGACTCCCCTTTGGTGTCAGTGGGACCGTAAGTCGTGGGGGCCCTGGTGAGCGGACGTCCCGTGCCAGGGTTCCCGAGCCCCTGTGGCTGGTGCGCTTGGCAGCGGCCGAGCTCCCCTGGAGGCTCCTGGCTGTGGCTGGCCTTCCCAGCTGTGCGGCGATGGGAGAGGGGACTTTGGCAGGGACCCGGCCCGGCTAGGCCCTTCCTCCTCTGGGTACCGGCAGAGGTCCTGTCCGCTCCCGGCTCTGAGCCTGGGGTGAGCGCTTTGTGGGTGCTACTCTTGCACACAGGGCTGGAGCTGGGGTGGGGACTGGGCCACCTCTCCCTGGTTGGGAGTGGGGGGTTGACAGACGCCTGTGTTCCCACCCCAGCCCTGCCTGGAGGAAGAGACCCTGCTTCGGTCAGGGTTGGCAGCACTTTGGCCCAAGGCTGGGGAGCTGAGTCACTCCATTTTTATTCCAAAGGAAACCAAAGGAACTTTAAAAGAGAGAGGGCTGTCCCTCCACACCTACCACGAAAACCCCAGAGTGAGCCTGTGCCCAAGCCAACCTCTCCCCCAGCGTGTTTCTTGGAAGAGCCTAGAAGATTCCTGGATCGAGACCCCATAGGTTCAACGTCCGTCTGGCCTGTCTTTTGAAAAAGCAAACACATTTATAAGCTTTGTGGGACATTCCGGGCCCACTCTGAGACCCCTCCCTGTCCTTGGACCCAGTGGCCACTGTCTGGTTTCCTCCGGGAGGTGGCCCACCATGGTGGGGCACCTGTCCAGCCCCACTGCCACGGAGGCAGCCCGAGTCCAGGCACCCACCATGAAGGTCTGACGGCTATGCCTCGTGGCCGCCGCTCAAGTTCCGACAGGCAGAGGGAGGCTTGCGTGTCGGCACGTACTCACAAGGGACAAGTCGATTCCACGCGGCCCCGCCTGACACTCGGAACATACACTCATCCTGCTGAGTTTGGGGACTGCCACCAACCTGCTGTGTGCTCTCGGGGACCCAGGAGATCCCCCCCCGCACCCCAACACTGACCACAAAGGCCGCCTTGAGGAAGCAATGTGTGCGTTTATTTAGGAGTTCTTACTAAGGGAGTTTTAAGAGCACAAAACTTTGATTGAACCCAACTCCACGGCACAGAAAATGATTTGTTAGATTGTCAGTGGCAAGGGTTTATTATGACTGCGGGTGGAATCAACAGGGGCTGGTTCCTGCCAACATTCATGGAAATAACGTGAAGTTTTAAGTGTGAGCTGTAAACCGAAGCTGCTTCAGGGTGTGTGTGTGTGTGTGTGTGTGTGTGTGTGTGTTTTAAATTCAATGTTGAAACTGTGGGGGAAAGGTGGAGAGCAGCCAGAGAAAACATTCTCATTTAATAGTGTTTGAACATGGCGTTGCAACACTGCGGGTAGCGAGGCCCTGAGAAAAAACCCACAACTAATCCTTCATCGCAGCTGTCTGAACACTTGATCGTCTGCCATCCCCCAAACAGCGACTTCTTTTTGCTGGAGGCTGCAGGCTTGAATGACCTAGTGTGAGAGTTTAAACTGTGTACAAGGGACCTGGGCGTGGGGTTGGGCGGGGGGATACAGGAAGGGAACTCTGAGCGTGCCTCAGTCAAGGGTTTTATGCGTTGGACTTCCTGTGCCCACAGCTCAGGGCAGGGCCATTCCCCATGCCTGTCCCCATGGCACGTCCAAGAGAGGACACCATGGCAGCCCGGCTTCACCTGGACTGACCCGCTCCTACCCCAGAAAGAAGAGCCAGGAGCGTGGTGGCTGGGAGGGCGGCTTTCTGTCTGGGCGGGCAGGTGCGCCCCGTATCCTAGCCGTCTCCCCACAGAGCGCTGGCTCTGGCTTCTTGCTGAATGGACGAGTGAACTGGCTCAGCTTCCTCTTGGCGCTGGTCGGTGGGATCCCGGTGCCTCCTTTTACAAGAAAAGACTAAGAAGGAAGGGAGCAACTTGGCAAACAGATTCAAGACGGATTCTGGAGCTGTATCGCCCACTCAAGGGTGGCAATCGGGAGGCCCAGCTACAAAACGCTGTTGCTGTCTTTCTCTACCTCCCGGCCTTGGCTCAGGGCAGGGTGCAAAACCTCACTGCTGTAGGAAAGTGGAATTTGGAAGACAGTTGAAAACAAAAGCTTTAATTGCTTCTTTATTTTGTAAAAATCACATTAAACGTTTTACTTTGCGTCTTCTCGGGTTTTGTTTTTGGTGGGGAGGTCTCAAGCCACACGCGGGCATCCTGGGATACCCACTGTCGTTAGCTGTTTGCTTGGGCTCCTGAAATCCTGAACTGTGTCTGCCAAAGTGGACACGTTTCCCCAGGGAGCCCTGGAGGTGCTGCTGTGGGGCCGGTTCGTGCTTCTGAGCTGGCTGAGGCCCTGAGGAACTGTGCGTGTGCATGCACGCGCACCCACGGAGAGGCTCCTCTCCAGGAGGGAGACACCAGGACCCTGTCTCAGGGACTCAGAGTGGCTTCGCCAGCAGCTGTGTGCCACGCATGCCATCACAGAGGAGCCAGGAGAAAGCAGAGTGGGAGGAGGCCCATGCAGGACCCAGACGGTCGTCACACAGACGTTGGCTGTGTGAGCCAGAGGGGGCACACGGGTTCAGTCGATGCTGGCTCCAGCATTCCGGGGGGCGCAGTGGGAAACGCTGGGTGGAGCAGCGAGGGTGGGGAATCAGCTGGCGTGTAGGGTGACGTCCCAGTCTGGATGCCTTGAAGCACAGCCCCGTGTACAAGGTGGTCTAGGGGGAGCAGGAGGGGCTGCTGAGGTCCCAGTGGGCGACCAGCTTCAGCCACACCTCACAAGAGGCTGGGCACGTCCATGACACCACGCAGAGGTGATCGCCCTCGGGACAGGCAGGCTGGCCTTTTGTAGCCTGCCAGGAGCCAGGCCGGCAGGATGGAAGACGCGGTTCTCGGGGTGAGAGGGGTGCACTCGGGTGCATGGTCCACCTGCCCAGGGAAGGGGCTCTGGGAGGCTTGGGACCCCAGTGGCCGTGACAGTGAAAAGGGACACGAAGCAGGTGGCATTGGCGCTGTTGGACCCCAGCTGGGAGAAGGGAAGCGATGGGTTCTGGTCTCTGGGCCAGTGTCTCTCAAACACGCACACCCATCCGCTGGGCAGCTTGCTCAACGCAGACTCTGGTCCGGCAGGTCTGTGGTGGGCCTGAGAGCCTGCATTCCTAAGTTCCCAGCGGCTGCGGGTGCTGCTGCTACAGGATCCACTTTGAGCTTTGAGGTCCTAGGCCTTTCGTTGTAGTGAAGTGGTCTCTGGATGGGGGTGTCACGGAGCCCCATCCCTAGCAGTCCCACTCTCTCCCTTAACCTGCAGTAAAGACTGACTAAGTTCAGGGAGTGACATGCTAGGTAAGAGAGGCCCCATCCATGCTAGCCTCTAATGTGAGTTTCAGGTCCCACCCAAGAAAGCAACACGCAACCTCCCTCAGCTCCAGAGCAGAGCCCACCTTTGCCATTCCAAAGGAAGCACGCTGGCCCGGATCACTGACCAATCAAAGGAAGGCCACGCTTGGGACTTGAAGAGCTGCTGCCTTGACTCTCTCGGGGGGTCTGGGAATTAAGCGCCAGCCGCCTGTCTCCTTGCTCTGCACGCAGTAAGTTCCTTTTTCCCACCAGCCTATGTTGGTGATTGGCTTACTGCACGCCAGGTGAGCTCAGCTCTTTTTTTTTTTTTTTTTTTTTGGGGGGGGCGGTGTCCTATAGCAACTCTGCCAGCTAGTGTTGAGGTTGTTCTCTATCAGAGAGGGGGAGGGGGCAACAGCCCTGCAGAGTTCCCTGGAATCCTGCTGCAGGTGACCACACGGCTGATGTGAGGATGGTCTCAGATACAGCAAGTTTTAAGGTAGTTACTGACATTGCTACAGAATTTTTCTTTAAACCGTGACACAGGGGTCGGTGCTGTGGCACAGCAGGTTAAAGCCCCAGACTGCATCCCATTTGGGCACTGGGTTCAAGTCCTGGCTGCTCTACTTCCGATCCAGCTCTCTGCTATGGCCTGGGAAGAGCAGTAGAAGATGGCCCAAGTGCTTGGGCTCCTGCACCCACGTGGGAGACTCGGAGGAAGCTCCTGGCTTCTGGCTTTGGATCAGCTCAGCTCTGGCTGTTGCAGTCACTTGGAATGCAAGTGGAATGTGGAATGGAAGACCTCTCTCTCTCTCTCTCTCTCTGGCTCTACCTCTTTCTGTAACTTTTTCAAAAAATTAAATCTTAAAAAAAAAACAAACAAACATGGCACAGTGACTAAGTAACATTCAGCAACTGTGGAAATAATTATTTATTTTAAATATCTTGGAAGCTTTATGTTAAAAGGACCCTTGGGGCCCTCTCAATTTTCATGAGCATTCAACACTTACCAGTCTCAAAACATGCAGAATGTCATACAATTTGGGTTTACAGTGTCTTAAACAGTCACTTCTGACAGGCATTTTAACATTCTATTGCATTAATTTAGATGGCACCAAATCAATAAAAGCTTAAAAAGTGATCTGTTGGGTTTACTTCACAGCCCATGTCTACAAACTAGTACTTTTCCATGTACTGATAATCTGTAAGAAACTTATTCATACCCTTGTATAGTGTGACCTATTGATGCACTGGTGTAAACAGGTTATTACACAAAAGTAGTTACACAACCGCAATGTTGAGACAGAAGCTATTTTATATAGTTAAAAACAGAAGTTATCTTGCAAAAGTTTAGACTCTAATGTATAAATATGTACAGTCCCTAGCTTTTATTCTGTCGAGTCTGGCTTTGGCTACATGCAGAGAGCATTCTATTCCCATCTTGTAGATTTCATCTGATGCACCAGCATTCCAGCTGGTACCGCCAGGACTCCATCTGACCCAGTTACGGGCACCAACCTCTTTGATTACGCTGTCTCGTCTTCATAGCTACTTGGCCTATTATTTTTCCAAAGCGTGTATTGAAAACAGGTGGTAGGGTGGAAAACGTCTTGTGAAAAGTGTTTTTCCTTAGGTGAAACACCACCAATACTTTTTCCATTATCGAAAACGTCAGGCTTCTCCCAAGCCGCTCGAAAACACTGACTCCTAGGGCGTCTCCGCAGAAACCTGCTGCCTTCACCACTTTCTGCCATTGAAAACTGTCGCCAGGAAGATGATCCCCACTAGCAGAATGTAGCCTGTTTAGTTTCTGGGCCCCCACACAGGAGGCCACGGGGGCTGGCATTGGGAGGCTTCTGTCTGTCTCAGGCACAAGCACCAATGCCTGCGCTGCGCGTCTGACAGGCCAGAGGTGCTCAGCTTCTGTGTCTCCAGGGTCCGGCCGGCCTCCAAGCTCACCACTCACCTTATCAAACACTAGTGGCTCTCAAGCCTGGAGATACATCAGAGTCCCCCGGAACACCGGTTACAACACAGCACCCCGGCCCCACCCCTCCTCGCCCCCCAACCAGCGTCATCTGTTTCCTGAGTCTGGAATGGGACTTGAGCACCTGCACTCCCGACGAATGCCCAGGTGGCGTCCACGCTGCTGGGCTAAGGCCCACGCTTTGAGACACGGTCATGGTCAACAACACCTGCTGGGCACCACAAGATGCTCTGGCTGCTCATTCGCCAGGACGGACTGCGTCCATGAGCCCTACGCTCGGTGCTCGGCGGTTAGCTCCCCACCGATCAGCTCAAGTCCTGCTCTTCCGTCCACCGGGCACCTGTCCTCGTATCCCGCTCTCTGGCCCTCCTGAGACACGTGTTTTCTCCCATGCCATCCCCTCTTCCCGGAGTTCAGAAAAACGGTTAATCCTGGGAGGAAACCAAGGGCCGAGTTTTGTTAGTCCTGGCAAACATTCCAAGACATTCCCAGGCAGAGTCTGGTCAAGTACAATGAGGCCACTGCTTCCGAGGGGAAGTGGTGCTTACGGTACACAGTTCACCTTGTTTTGAAAGGACGACGGGCTGTCCCACAGAGTGGGGCGGCCACGTGGGTGGACGTCTCTCCTCTCCTCACCTCCCCCAGCAAAACATCAGTCTTCAAATTCTCTCCAGTTGCAAACCAAAAACAACCGCACCATTCCAGACCGGCTCTTGGTCCTTGGCTCATTTGCCGTCAGCAACATCTCAATAAAAGGAAATAACCCATTTTCTTTGGCTCCTGCTCACCGCAACAAGACATCTCTGTCCCAAATAACGCTACTCTCAAATGCGTGGTTTATCAAAGTCATTTCACAGCATGGGGTGAATGTTTTCTTTTTGGAAAAAAGGAGGAGAGGATGATAGTATATGAAGCAGGGTTGTGACTTCTGACCTCACGTGGGAATCAGGGCCCAAGCACGGAGTCTGGGATTAGTGCAATCGGTTCCAGGGCAGACGGTGGAGGAGACCCGGATGTGTGCCAGACACCTCCCAGCCTGCAACGCGAAGACCTGAGGAAAAGAGCACGCGCCCCCACCCCACCAGCCCACCCGTGTCCGGTCACCGGCGTTGCCTCGCTGTTCGAGCTATACCTTCTCCATCTCGATCTGCTGGTGGTAGTGCCGGGCGTGCCGCTGGCCCCCGTTCAGCTTGTACACAGAACGCTTGTGCTGGCACCTGCGGTAGCCCCACACCGCCCCCACGCCGGCCAGGACCAGCAGCAGGCACAGCACAGTGACCACGGTGGCGATCACGGGGCCCCTGCCCAGGCTGGGACACCTGTCCCCCACACATGGCTCCAAGCTTGGCAGCAGCTCCTCCTGGCCTGCACCCGGCCTGGGATGCTCCTGGCCCAGGAAGTCCTCGGACAGCAGGTATGGGAAGCTGTCCTGGACCCCAGGGGCGCTGGTGTCCCCCGGAGGCCGTGTGGCGGCCACGCTGGGGGAGGCCGTGTGGACAGGTGTCTGGCGGGCAGCAGTCGTCCTCACTGGCTCCAGGGTAGCACTGGTGAGGTCAGAGGGTAGAGTGGCCAGGGGAGACTGCCCGGTGGTCACTCTCCAAGGGGCAGTGGACCTGGTCACGTCGCCATCCCCGCCGCGGGGACTCTCAGTGTCAGACACATTTAGGGGGGTGACAGCCGAACCCTCCAGGCCCAGCGTCTGAGAAGGAAGGACGGAAGTCGGGGTGACGCCCCCGCCCCGTGCCGCGGGCTGCGTGGCTTCCACCAGATCGGGCTGGTCAGGGGGGAGGACACTGTCCTCCAGCCCCACCGACCCGTCCCCCCGGTCCTCCTCCTCCTCCTCCTCCGTCTCTCCCTTCCTCCACGCCCCATCCGTCACGGGGTAGCCATCTAACCAGGACCCGTCACTGCTGCTCACCATCGGGTCCCCCGCCCGGCGGTCCTCCCCGCCCACGAGAGGCCCCGAGGGGCCGTCTGCGCGGCCGCGGGCCACCTTGGCTTCGCGCTGACCCGGGGCCCGCTTGACGCCGCTGTGGTTGTCCCCGGCCGCCAGCCGCTTCTTGCTGTGGCCGCCCGCCTCCGTTTCCAGCTCAGGCTTGTGGAAGGCCTCAGCGGCCGGAAGCAAGAACAAGTACTTGCGGCGAAGTCGGGGTCCCGGCCAGTGGGTGGGCGCGCCCGGGCTGGGCCCCGGGGCCTCCTCCCGCGCCGGGGGTTCGCGCCCATCCTCCTCCTGCTCCTCGCGCTCCCGGGATGCCACAGACCTGTCGTCCGGGAAGTTGTCTTCGTAGTCGATGTGCGCCTCGGCCTCCTCTGCAGGGGAACAGGGAGAGCACCGCTGAGTCCAAAGCCCAGAGCCAGTTTATGCAGTGCGGGAAGCGACCACCTCAGGCGCCAGCATCCCGTAGAGGCACCGGTTTGAGTCCCGGCTGCTCCACTTCCGGTCCCGCTCCCTGCGAATGTGCCCGGGACAGCAGCGGAAGATGGCCACCCCCGTGAGAGACCCGGATGGAGCGCTGCCTCCTGGCCTCAGCCTGGCCCAGCGCGGGAGTGCATTTCCGGGTCCTGGAACTGGATTGGTGGACATCTGGGTTATTACTACAAGCCCCTAGAGAAAGCCCCAGAGTTCTCTCTCCCTGTTTTTAAAGAATTATTTTATTTATTTGAAAGGCAGAGTTACACAGAGGTGAGCCAGAGAGAGAGAGGTCTTCCATCTGATGGTTCACTCCCCAAATGACCACAACGGCCAGAGCTGAGTTCATCCAAAGCCAGGAGCCAGGAGCTTCTTCCAAGTCTCCCACATGGGTGCAGGGGCCCTACTTGGGCCATCTTCTACTGCTTTCCCAGGCCATAGCAGGGAGCTGGATCGTAAGAGGAGTAGCTGGGTCTCGAACTGGCATCCCTATGGGATGCCGGCACTGCAGGCTGAACCCAGAGTTCTAAATAACAGTTTTAAAATCCTTTCTGGGGGCTGGTGCCGCGGCTCACTAGGCTAATCCTCTGCCTTGTGGTGCCGGCACACAGGGTTCTAGTCCTGGTTGGGGCGCCGGATTCTGTCCCGGTTGCCCCTCTTCCAGGCCAGCTCTCTGCTGTGGCCAGGGAGTGCAGTGGAGGATGGCCCAAGTCCTTGGGCCCTGCACCCCATGGGAGACCAGGAGAAACACCTGGCTCCTGTCATCAGATCAGCGTGGTGCGCCGGCCGTGGTGGCCACTGGAGGGTGAACCAACGGCAAAGGAAGACCTTTCTCTCTGTCTCTCTCACTGTCCACTCTGCCTGTATATATATATATAAATCCTTTCTGGGGGCCAGTGCTGTGGTGCAGCGAGTTAAAGCCCTGGCCTGCAGTGCCGGCATCCCACATGGGCACTGGTTCTAGTCCCAGCTGCTCCTCTACCGATCCCGCTCTCTGCTATGGCCTGGGAAAGCAGTGGAAGATGGCCCAAGTCCTTGGGCCCCTGCACTCATGAGGGAGACCCAGAGGAAGCTCCTGGCTCCTGGCTTCAGATTGGCGCAGCTCTGGCCATTGCGGCCATCTGGGGAGTGAACCAGCGGATGGAAGACCTCTCTCTCTGTCTCTACCTCTCTGTAACTCTTTCAAATAAATAAATAAATCTTAAAAAAAAAAAATCCTTTCTGATCTGCTCCTAAAATTTAAGCCCATTCATGTGTGTCTTCTGTCAAAAAATGGAAAACAGTGAAGAGCAAACACTTGAAAAAATGTCACTTGCACACATGTATTATGCTTTCAAAAGGCAGCCCAGTTACCAGTTCAGCGCATTCCCTACCCTTTCCTTTGTTCCAGGAAAATCTGGCACAGACTTTGGCTACTGACGTGCAAGGGTAAAGAAAAAATTCAAAATCCAGGCAGAGGAGGCAAGCCAGACCTAAGCGCAGAAATTAAATCCAGCTTGCTTAAAAGTGTGCTGAATGGTAGAAAGCAACAATAGGCACACTATGTGAGTGGAGGAAACGTCATCCAACAGTGTTGTGCCTTGGTAAGATGTCACATGAGGAGTCAGCATTGTGGCGCAGCGGGTTAAGCTGCCACCTGTCACACTGGTGTCTCGTATGGACACCAGTTCAAGTCCTGGCTGCTCCGCTTCCCATCCAGCTCCCTGCTTATGTACCTGAGGAGATACACAATGATGATGGCTCAAGTACTCGAGTTTCTGTCACCCAGGTGGAAGACCTGGATGGAGTTCTTGGCTCCTGGCTTCAGCCTGGCCCAGTCCTGTCTGTTGTTTCAAAATAAAACAAAATATTTATTAAAAATAAAATATTTTAAAAAGAAAAAAATTTAAATATTTATTTATTTGAAAGGCAAAGTGACAGAGAAAGAGGGAAAGACAGAGAGAGAGAGAGAGACCTTCCATCCATGGGTTTACTCCCCTAAATGGCTGCAATGGCCAGGGCTGGTCCAGGCTGAAGCCGGGAGTCCAGAGCTCCGTCTGGGTCTCCCACGTGGGTGGCAGGGGCCCAAATACTTGGGTCATCATCTGCTGCTTTCCTGGGTGCATTAGCAGGGAGCGGGATCAGAAGTGGAGCAGCCGGGACTCGAACCAATGCTCTGATTTGGGATGCAGGGTTGCGGGTGGAAGAACGTCCAGTGCTGTGGGTACTGTGTGTGTGCTGCTCACAGAGCTGGTCATCACCTGGAATTCACAGTCCAGACGGTCAGTTAGCTTCATCACCAGAAAGTCACCCTCTGCCTGTGGTACTTTCAATAGTCAATAGTCAATAGACAGTTGACTACCAAGTACTTCCAGTACTGGTCTCTCAATTGAAAACTACTGCTTGGCCGGTGCCGTGGCTAACTAGGCTAATCCTCCGCCTTGCAGCGCCGGCACCCCGGGTTCTAGTCCCGGTCGGGGCACCAGATTCTGTCCCGGTTGCCCCTCTTCCAGGCCAGCTCTCTGCTGTGGCCAGGGAGTGCAGTGGAGGATGGCCCAAGTGCTTGGGCCCTGCACCCCATAGGAGACCAGGATAAGTACCTGGCTCCTGCCATCGGATCAGCGCGGTGCGCTGGCTGCAGTGCCCCGGCCGCGGTGGCCATTGGAGAGTGAACCAACGGCAAAAAAAAGGAAGACCTTTCTCTCTGTCTCTCTCTCTCACTGTCCACTCTGCCTGTCAAAAAAAAAAAAGAAAGAAAAATAAAAAAAAAAAAAGAAAACTACTGCTTTGCTAATGAGTGCCCTGAAAATGGCTTCCTACAGGCAAAACAAATGCCTATTAGCTACCATGATAAATATTAGAAACAGGCTGTCATTGGAAAAACGAAAGGTATATATGATATCAGATCAGCTGAAAATATGTTAGAGATACTTCACACCTTTATACGGACAAGCTCAAACCAACCTGGACCTTGATGGTGCTTGAGACATGAACCCTAATGATCTCAGTGTGAGATCAATAAGCTGCACCCCCAGGACAATGGGAGCGATGCGAACAGTGACCACCTAGAACAGAGGTCACTCTGCACTGACCACACCGCCCACCCAGCTCCCACTACACTGCCTGCCCAACTGGCCCAGGAACTCCCTGAGGACAAGGACACGTCCCCTCTGCCTCTGCATCCCCAGGACCCTGCATGGTGCGTGGCATGTAGTGGACACCCCCTGAATGTCTGCTGAAGGCACAGGTGAACCCGCGAGTGGTGGAAGACAGTGTTGAGAAAGCTTGACTCAGCCCAGAGGTCCAGCAGCAAGGGCAGAGCGCCATCAATGACCCGGGAGTTCTATGTCTGCACATTCTTCCTCCGGGGGATGCATCCCATGACCTTGAAACAGGCCATGAGGTCCAGAGGCACCTGGAAGGCGGGCCCGTCCCTTCTGGTGTGGGAAACCCCGGCTTAGCGCACACAACCTCAGAGTTGAGAATGCAGGAGAGAGCAGCCCACTCTGCTTGAGGCGGGGTCTGCTTAGCCCTGGGCCCCTGTGGTCAGCCTGAGCTGTGTGTGTGTGTGTGTGTGTGTGTGTGAGAGAGAGAGAGAGAGAGAGAGAGAGAGAGAGTTCTGCCCCCAGAGCTCTCCGAGGCGAGGGCACCCCTGGAGGGAAGCCCAGGGCCCTGAGCCTAGCTCTTCTGTCTCCCCACGGGTTCACAGGTCAAGGTCCTGGCTCTCAGGACCAGAGTCTCACTCTGCCACAGTCTGCCCCAAAACCTCAAACAAAGGTGAGGACGACCAGCGTTTCCAAACAGCCGACCTGGGAGGAAGCACCCCGGGCTCGTTTCCCGCCTCCCTGTGTTCATGATTCACCAAATTCCGCCTGAGATGGCCAGGGGTTCCTTCTTGCACCTTCCCTGGCTTCCCGAGTCTGCCTTCTCTGACTCAGACCACGCAGCCAGCCTGCTCACCCGTCCCCTCCTCCAGGCCCTGTGCAAACCCCTGCCAACACAGCAGGGGCCTTCTGAATCCTACAAGCCATATAAGACATGTCAGTTTGGTAAGTTCGCCTGGCAAAACCTGGGCCATTCGCTGTAAATTCAGATTTAACTGCTGCTTTTGGAAACTGGAGGAGCACAGACGGCTGAGTCAGGAGGAGGCGGCGATGGCTGGCTGTGCACCGCCTGGTCTCTACCAGGAGGACGTGGTGGGGGCGCTGAGGTGCCAGGGCCCAGGACCCTGGGGTGCTCCCAGCACTGCCGCTGGCCACCTCTTTCGCATATTGTTGCATTTCTAGAAGCCCGCACATACTTTCTCTTTTTTCCCCCTCTGGTCTTGGTTACACAGCCTTTAAAAATAGCTTTTTTAAAAAAGACAACCAGACAAGCCAGAAATAACCGCGCGCGAAGCGCAGCCCTGAACAAATATGGCAACACCAATGAGGAAATGCTAAATTCGGTCTTGGGCGCCTGCTGGACTTGTTGAAGGAAATTCAGTTCAAAAAATGGGGAGAAACAGAAATGGAAGTTAAAGTAGGAAGACAAAAGCAAGCTTCAGGAGAGAGAGAGAGAGAGAGAGAGAGAGAGAGAGAACGCGCCCAGGGAACTTCCTGAAAGAAGAGTTTGAAAAGGGGTCTGTGCACTGCCCTGCTGTGTCCGTGCAGATGGGATGCCAGTGTTGGGGGCAATGCTCCTGGGTTTAAGCCCTGGCTCTGCTGCTTTCTGGGTGGGTGACAAGGCGAGCCAATGACCCTTTCTATCCCTCGTTTTCATCTGTAAAAGGGACCTAGCCATTTCTACTCCCAGACTTGCAAAGATTGCATGACACGAAGCAGGAGCAGACACGAGGAACCTTGCGGATGACGGAAATGTTCTGTGTTTTTGGTTCCCATGGTGGTTTCACAGGTGTATGTACCTGTTACAGCTCAGATGA